TGTGTGAATATAATTTTGCATCATATGATACTTATTACCATTAGATATTTATACACAAGAACAATTAATTAAAGCAATAGACAATTCAATTAACATAATTAGTTTATGATAATCAAGAAACTCGTTGTATTACATAAATTGATATTAATATTGAAGATGATTCTGACTAAACATCTTCTAAGGTTCAACACTTTCTCAGCATAAAAATATTTGCATTAACGATCGGTAAATAATAAATGCAAATCAAGTAATAAAATTGAAAGTATTATCTATCGAGTAATAAAATTAATAAATATTTACGTAATTTTCCTATTTATTATTTTTATTTAAAGTGCAGTTAGAAATGAGTGTCAGCGAGTAAAAAGGTCCACCACCGGTATTTCAAAAAAAAAGACAAGTTAAGTTAAGAATTTTTTTACAATAGTAAAACCAGTCATCTCTTTGATTTTTAAGACCTTGCTTCTAAGAAATAAAGGACATTTTTTGGAAATCCATGACAATAGTATTCTCTTTCGTATTTAGTTTTTTTCGTTGTGAGCACTGTTGTTTAGTTTACTAGACCTCAGTATTCATAATAGTAGTTTTAAAGGATGTAATTTTTTTATTTTATAAAATTGTATTGTAAGATGTAGTTACCACATGGGTGGGGTAAAAAGGACTTTATCCTGACTCTGGTACAAATAATAAAATTTAAAAAAAGCATTTTACAAGAAAAATAATTAAATTAACAGTTATTCCAACTCTGCTGATGAATATTTCTGACTAAATGCTAGATCAAGGATATATACGTACAGTGTTATCTTTGCAAAAAATGTATTCATTTATACTAATTTGTATTGGTTAAATAATGTACCTGTTATGTCGTAAAAATTCTTGAACATTAAATATAAGGCAACGAACTTATATTCTTTAAAATCGAAAAAAGACAATGACTTCTTGGCCATTTCATTTTATACCCTGTTTATAGACGAGTAAAATAGACAGATGAGAATTTTTTGAAAAACAACAAAAAATACACATTTCTATAAAGATGAATTAGCTGGGAGGCTGGGAGTTTTACTGAACATAGTCAGATAGTTGTTTGTTTGATACATGTTATTTGTTGTGATATAATTGGTCAAATTGTTAAATTGGACCTTTGTGCCCCTCTCTACCCTATTTATGAACTTTAGTTTTTTGCAGTTTATATAAAAAACTATTTGCTGACATTTGATTTGGACAATAATTTCACGTAATTTTTGAAAATTAAAGCGCAAACTATTAATTAACCATTAAGGAAGATTATATCGCATTGCCTATTATTTTAAAAAAATACGATCGAGCCTGTCGGTAAAATTTTGCAACGCTTTTTACTTTTCGATAGTTCCACTGAACTTGATGTATATTTTATTACTCGAACGCACATTGTGGAACTTGTATGATATATGGATAAATGGCATGTGAAATAGAAAACATAATGCATCGGGGAACCGCAATTGAAAACATATTATCGCGATATAATTACGGCCGAGCCGAGTGATGCATCAACAAAAATATCATGATATAAATTACGAATGTGTTTCGTATTTATTTGCGGAAAACATGCTTTATTGAATTACAACGATGGTATTTTCCGTTTCAAGGTTTTGTAATGAAGCATTTTGTTGGCCAGCGAGGCTTGTCTGCAAATCATATGTTGTGCAATGTGCTATTTTATGCTTATTAACTTCGCGTAGGGTAAGTTGTAGTAGTAATCGTTCAGAAATCAAAAATGAAAGTTTTTGCATTTCTTTCTGGTATATCTTGAAAAAAAAAATGGTTGTGTGTATGTATGTGTGGCTTCAATTTTTCCACTTAGGTAGCACCGCTCAACCGATTTGAATGATTCAAAAAAACAATCGATTCGTATTGATGGGGAGATGCATTTTGTTGACCAGCGAGGCTTGTCTGCAAATCATATATTGTGCAATTTGCAGTTTTATGCTTAATAACTTTGTGTTGGTTAAGTTATAGTAATCGTTTAAAAAACGATATTGAAATTTTTTTGCATTTCAGAGGTTTTTGAACATTTTGGCATACCTTGAAAAAAATGGATGCGTGTGTTTACATGTGTGGATACAATTTTTTGCCCATGTTTTCAGGAGCACCTCTCAACCGATTTAAATGATTCAAAACACATTCAGTTTGTATTGACGAGAAGATGTGCTGATTAGTATTTGGCAAAGACAAGTCTAGTCGTTTCAAAAATACTAAGAATAATGGCAGTTATAGTATATATGAAAATCTATTTGATAACATTTAAAATTCTTCGATGCTCATGGGGTGAACGTAAGAAAGTTATAGCAATTTGTCTTAAGGCATGATGCCATGCATCACTAGTTTGAGATTGAATTGAAGCTTATTTTTTAAGTATTTATGTAAAAAAGCAAACAAAGTAATTTGCACTTTAGCAGCTTTTTTAAAATATTTTTGCAAATTTTTTTGCAAAAAATCTGGTAAATATATCAATACATATAGCTTTTGGAAGTCAACTTTATGGTTGTTTTTTTTATGTGTATTTTATTTGAACTTACTTGATTAATATTATTTACTTCTTTCACAAAAATATGGTTATTTCTATTGGGAAACATATTTTTGATCTATATTTGCAAGTAGAAATGTATTGTAGAAGTAGAAGATTGATATCAGGTTGTCAGAGTCTAAAATTTGCAACTTTGTGGTAAAAAGGCGTTGACCACTGTTACCACAAACTCCTTTATATAATCAATGATAATATATAAAATTTTCATGAATATATTATTCATCATGAATATTTTATCAATATATTATGATTTAGTTTAATATCAATGGAATAATTTAGGCGTATTAATGTGAATTGTTCTAATTCATATATCGACAATTTTTTACGATATTTTTATTTATCGTACTGCAATCAAGTATGAACAATTGATTGAATATAATTTATCATTTTTATCACAGAGAACCGAGTTCCAAAAATCCCTCCTACCATCTTTCTTGATTCTTTGGAGATTTGAACAATTTGTTTCTTACTTTGTTAGATCAATACTGCTATTGTGAGCAAACGATTAAGGTCAGTTCAGAAAAGCACAATTATCTAGAAACCTCATTCTTAAAGACCTTGGTTTAATGAAACATTATGGAATCCACGATTGCATAGTAATAGGTAACCATTATAATGTGCTAGTTGAAGTCATACACTAAGAACTTCATAATATTGAATGTTTTAAAACAATTTCTAACAGAGCTTTACCTGAAATATATTACTACCATAAAATAGATTTTTTCCATTTTCAATCTACATATTGTGCTCTCTGCAGATAAAAATCATTTATCATCGGAGCCCATCAATAAAAAGCATTGAAAATTTTCAATTTAACTAAACTGCTCGGTCTGCCAATTGGCCCGGGAGGTGTTCAAATACGAAATTTCATCCGAAACAATTAAAAGCAGATCGCTGATTCATAATTGATGCGTAATACTTGTGTCGAATGGGCGGAGGATTTTTATTTTGATTTTCGACATAATAGACCGAGTGTCTAGTCAATAGTGTAAAAAATGCTGAACATTTTTGGTAAAGAACTGAAGAACTAATAAAATTACAAATTGTCTGATCGTTGCTGCAGGGTTTTCTGGCGAGCAAGTTTGAGTGATCCGCGAGACATTTTTTGTATTTGTGTTCGAGAGCGTTTGTTTTATGCTTGACTGTACTAGTACCTGTATTTTTGTGTATCAACTAATTTGGGAGATACTTTAGTACTTATGCAAAGTCTTAAAGTTGCTCTTATATTGTTGCAGCCTGTAACTTAATTTCCCAATAACCATCAATTTTGGTAAGGTTTATGAATTTGTATGCGCAAAGTTCCTCAACATGCTCAAACCTTTCAGGTTTGGTATGATGATAGACAAAAATGCACTACTAGTAAATGTACAGTATTTGCAATATTTATAGTACATCTTGTAATCGCAAGTACCTATTGTTTTATTTGCTGGAAATATCGTTTTACTAACAAAACCTCTTCTGCATTTAACTTTTAGCTACCTAAGGCACAAATAACCAATTACATATCCCTTTGAATAGCATTTGAAAAGCTACAAGATAAAAAGAGTGGTATTTGATATATAAGTAAAGTTGATATATTCAATAATTCATACTAAATAAAACCACACCTAGAGAATTCAATACATGATAGTTATAGTTTTATTCGATTGAGTCTACCTTAAAGCGAAAATAACATGTGAAAATGTACTATAACCGCTAGAGTAATGGTCTCCGACGTTTAGTTTTTCTCGGAAAATACTTTCTGTGAATCTAAATTTCTGAATTGTTCAACATGGTAGAGTAATACTGGTGAAAATATCAACCTACATGTAAAATAATTGTTTTAGATATATTAAATGATTAACATTATATTAGGGTGGGTCCAACCTTTTGACATTGGGGAATATTTTGATTCTGGTTCTAAGGGTAATTTTGAGAAACTTTCTCACAATAGGAAGGCAATAGGAAATCCTTCACACATTTTTCCCTAAATCGAGTTGGACTTGAGTTCAGCCCTAGCGCAGTACCATCAATTATTTATTTTTCATCATAAAATATTAGTTTATTTTCATTTTCATACAAATTTTCATTTTCCATCAGTCTCCTGGCTATGGAAGGGCATCATCGTGTATCGCATTATGAAATGTAACGCCATAGCTTCAGTATTTCATTCCCGAATTGTTTTGTTTCGTTCAGGTAATTCCACATAATACCGACTGGCAAAAATATCCGATATTTTACGGTGAATTCAGTTATAAATTATTACCATCAGTGTGAGAGAATTCAGGCAAAAAATTATATTTGACTTTTTTTTAAATGTTTTGGAGAGACTGTTTATAGAGCATTACTTAAATGTCGTCGATTAAAATTGATAGATGATTTGATTGATATTTATGAAAAATGTGTAAATCACTTCAAATTACTTTTGAAAATGATCTAATTTAATTTTTTTTCCTTTCAGATAATGTTGCGATTTTTGGTCACAGCGTTTTTCCTGCATGCTGGAAATTGTGTATATGGAATTACAGATAGTTACGTGCCAGTATCAGAAGGTAAGTCTTAAAAAATTAATATATATATATATATATATATATATATATATATATATATATAATAAAGTGGGTCGATTTGAATGGGTCAAAAAAAGTCGCTTAGGCACACATGATTTTTGGATACTAGGGGTCAAAATAAGATACTTTGCTGAAGAAACTATACATCTAAAATGAATTCTGATGTCACGTGCAATGACCCAAAAATAAGGGTTGATATTTGAAAAATTCCATTTTAACTGGTTAAACTGGTTATTAAATCTAACTGGTATTAAATTTGTTAACTTGTTTTCTGGTCTCACAGGCAGTTTTATGACCTTTTAGGTATACAAGTCAAAATAATGCCATTGAGTATTTTCCAGAAAATACAATACTTCAAAGATACACAACAATGAAATTGTGTTCATGTATGTGTAACTCAAATGTATATTTTATTGAATAGTAATATCCTAATATATCCATTTATATATCTACTAATCATATATGTACATAAAAATTATTATTATATAACACAAATCAGTACTATTTGCTGATAATAAACCATGTCTGGTTAAATATTCAAATAATCATGTCTGATTATCAAGTTAGTGATACCTTACAAATCACTTCTCAACTTACCCTCGATATTTAAAAATACGTATGTTATTGCCTAAAACAACATTGGCATAAAAAGAATTTGTTTAAAATCTCATAGAGTGCACAAAATCCCCCAAAAGCGATTTTCCAATATCAAATAATGATATTGTTTGTTTACTTTTATTCTGGATTGATATTACTCGATGGGATTTTATACTATCCCGTTGATTGATTGATCGATTGGTACGCAATTGTATTCGCATTATTGTTTTTTACAACACTCTTGTTTCTATCATATAATCAATTTTCAACGGATCGAAATAATATTTTATACTGCTCAAAAACATAAATAGTTTTCCCGTTCAGAATGTGTAATCTCAGAAAAACCATTAATGTTCGCCATTATGAAATTGCTTATTTGTTTTAACAGATATGTATTAAAGTTTTTGCTTGATGGTGACATACGTAGTATATATACTATATACATAGGAAAAAGCTTTCAAATTTATTAAATAAGTTTCGGTGTTTGTTGCAATTATAATTGAGTGACAGTAAAGTATGAATGGAAATGGAATGGAGTCATGGATGTTTGGGATAAATATTAATTTATCTCTGAACAGAATAGGAAAATGCATTACGTTTCTTTTTTAATTTATAATTAGCTTATCAAATTAGCTTACCTAAATGTTTTAAAAGTACTGTTATTTGAGAATGATAGTTTCAACGTTTTTATTAAATTAATAGGATCGGTTGTTGTTGGTTTCATTTATAATTAGCTTACCAAATTAACTTACCTAATTTTTTATAACGTTTGGTCACTGATACTGATATAATTAATTATATAGGTCACACTCAGTTATAAATTATTTTATTATATATATTTCTTAAATATTTACTGAAATATAATCGGCTTAAACAAATTTCATAATCATTCTGACAATTAGTTTTTTATCACTACGTGCCACGATTTAAGAATATCAAGTCAAAGTTTTAAGTACATATTTTAACGCGCAAGTTTTAGGGTTTGACTGCTTCACAAACAATTTGGTTTAAAACTAAAATTTTTAATCATAGTAAATGGGCTTGCTTTATAGCAGCGGTCGAGGAACTTTTTTAAACATTACGCCAAAATATTATTGTCTAAGTTGATATTATCTCCATGGCCTAGAGTGAATACCCCTATACGGAGAACTACGTAGCAAATACAGTAAATATCAATTAAAATACATACCTTTACCCCCAAAAAAATAAACATTTAAAATAATTTACTTCGGTTTCCCTACAACATTGTATCCCAACATGCAGAACATTTCATATCCAATCTAGGAAAAAAATATTTTAATATTGTTCGAGATCCTATTGAAAAACGTCTGTTTCTGTTCACACCTAGTACAATGAGCCCTATTACACTATGTGGTCCTATAGTAAGGGGTTAATTTTCCGGGAAAATAGACCATAACATAGCGTTATTATGGCAACTTTATGTTGTCCAAAAGTCCAAATGCTATAAATTTGAATCGTTTATATGTAAAACCTAGCCTAGAAAACGAAACAAATGTCAATAAAGCATAAGTGCATCTTTCTGATATGTCATAATAAACCATGCAAGAAGATAGATTTTATGTGTAAAACATCTGACTGCAGGGCTAATATAAAGTAATTTTATGTGCAAACAAATTTTGACTGTTTTGAGTACCAAAAAGGAGCATAACATAGCGTTGTCATAACAACGCTTTGTAATGGTCTATTTTACCGGAGAATTGGACCCTCTGTTTAGATTGATTTCAGTTATTCTGTTCCATTTAAAATTTTCCAATTGTCCGATGTAACATATTTCGATTGCACTTTTCTAACTTCAATCAAAATAAATTGTATTATATAATAAGACTACCAAAAGGGTACTCGTTGCCTTTCGTCTTCTTCATGTGTTGCCTTATTTTCGTTGCTTTTACTTCGATCCCAAGTCAGCTTAGACTTTGGAGTAGACGATGCGCGCCGTTACTTTCGGATTTTGCATATTAGTTTGACCTTTGACAAAAGTTAATGTGAATCCTATGACATTTACTGCTTTAATACTGTCTACGATCGCCGGGTTCACACGAATATTATCCAGAATAGCGCCCGTCAATTGTGGCATTGCATTGCGCGAGCCACTCGTACCATTGTTTACAGATGAATTTGCGACCGTGGGCGTCCAAGACACGAATGTCTGATTTCGTTTTGAGAGGAATTTATATTGTCTAAAGATTTTTGATTTGAATATCTTTGGATGTTATTTCATTAAGCATGAAACGTAACTTGGAAATTGTTTTGCATCTGGTTTTGTTCTCGGATTTGTAACAGCTGATCAGGGTACCATCAAACCCGGACGCCTAATCATTGGGTTGGTATTCAATTTAGACATTTTTAAGTACGACAAAAACTAGCTGTGAGTGGAATTCTGTCTTAAGGCAATTAAGGCATCGTGCCTTAAGGCAAATTGCTGGAACTTCCCGTACCAAAAATTATTATTTTTTTAACATTTTTGAAAAAATTTTACTTCGAAAAAATAAGATTTTTGAGAAACTATAAATTGGACAAAAAATTACTTTTTTTTGAAAAAATTTTTTTTTTTATTTTGACATATTGTGGAAGATCTGAACTTTCTTTTCAAAGCAATCGTACTGCTTTAACTGCATAAAGACGAAATATCAAACCGCGTAAGCGCCGCGTCGACGTCTAACGCGTAAACATTGGTACGGAACCCATAGGATTGTAAACCAAAATTATACTTATTGTTAAAATCTCTATAAAATATATGATAATTTGATGTGCATATGTCTAATGATCATTTTTGACCGCCAAATGGCTCATTTTTTTACTTTTTCCTCCATATCTCCGAAACCGCTAGACCTACCTTCATAAAAATTTTATCGATTCTTCATCTTGTCAATACAAGTAAAATGTTTTTTGAATTATTCAAATCGGACGCTTCGTTCTCTTAAAAACTGAGTTACCGTTTTCGGCACTTTTTGCCCCGTATCTTTGGAACGGCTAGACCTGCCTTCGCCAAAAACTGATCAGCACGTCTCCTTATCAATACGAATCGAATGTTTTTTGAATTATTCAAATCGGTTGATCCGTGTTCCCGAAATCGTCGACGAAAATTTGTATCCGCACATACATACACACACATACATACATACATACACACACACACACACACACATACATCCATTTTTTCTAAGGTATGCCAAAATGTTCAGAAACCTCTGAAACGTAAAGATATATAAAAATTTTCATTTTCGATTTTTTTGCGATTACTATAACTTGCCCTACGGGAAGTTAAAAATTCTGATATTCAGAATGAAATAGGTGCAAAAAATAAAACACTCTAAAAAAGAAATTAGTGGTATATAGCATCGTACCTTAATGCAAATTGCTGGAACTTTCCGTACCAAAAATTAAATTAAAAAAGATTTTTTTTTTTACTTTGAAAAAATTAGATTCTTGAGAAATTTTAAATTTTTTTAAAAAATTGACTTTTTTGGAAAAAAAAACAGTTTGGATTTTGTTTTTTGAGATATTTTGGAAAGTTTGAAATGTTTGAACAATCGCATTGCTTTAGCTGCATAGAGATGAAATATCACATATACATCCATTTTTTCTAAGGTATGCTTAAATGTTCGGGAAGTTAAAAAACTTCTAACTTTTGCCAGAATAAAAATGGCGTAATGGTTAAGTGCACGGCCTTGTGTTAACAGGGTCGTGAATTCAAGCACCCGCTCTTGATAACCTAATATCAAGCAGTAGCGATGTCTATTTTTACTTGAAAATACAGATCAAAAATATGTTTCCAATTGAAAATATCTTATTTGGGGCACTGTGGTGTGAAATACCAATAGAAAATCTCTTACACTATTCTTTCCTGAATCGAGTTGGAGTTTAACCCAGCTCATGGATCTGATCCTAAGGCAGTACCACACACTATTATTTACTGCTAATAATTAAAATAATTCGTTTATAATTTTATCATGATAATAATAATTTTTCAATTAATTAAATTATTGGTAAATTAAACTACGAATTTCGATAATGACTAACAAAGTTACAATATTTAGGCGTATCTCCTTCTTTGAAAATCTTAGCTCACCATATAATTAAATAACCAAAGTTAATCTTCAGCACTCTAAAAGTAACTTACCAACTTAACTGTTTTTAGTAGGAATTATTAATCCACAAGCACAAATATTTATGCAATTTACTCTAACTTGAAGTTTGTTTAAAATTCTTAAAGTTTGTATTCTGAATAGGAGAGAAAACTTTGATAATTTGTCAGAAAAGTACTGAGCAACCACAGGCTTTATGGAATAAATATAATTTGTTTATAAAATTGTGATATCTTTTGCAACTTGAGATATTGAATTAATTTTTTCCTGACTTAATTT